TCAAAGACTATATATATATATATATATACATACAATTGTATATACATCCTACGATTATCATTCGACTGATTTTAGTTATGCGATTATTGTTGTATTTATTATGTTGACATTAAATTATTCGTATGTATAAGACCTGTGTGCCAAGCTTGTATTGACTATTTTTGATGGGATTATCGATTCTCGTTCGTTTTGTGATTCATCAACGAAACATAAATATGTTACATATGCAACGTTAATGTGCAATATTATTATTATTATCATTTGACGTCGAGCTGTGGGAGATAAGCATAATATTATTAAGTATTGATTTTGCTGATGATGAGTATATACATATATTATATTCGTTGGTTGTGCGTTGACAAAAGAAAAAAAAAACATATAAAAGGCTTCCTTCGGCATCTGCCTCATTTTCAAACGAACATTTATTGTCGCTCTGTGATTTTCCATAGTTTTAAAGTAATGAAATAAAAGTAAGTTGCAATCAAACATAAAATACTCAAAGTCGATGAAGCAATCATCTGAAGAGGAAAAAAAATAATAATCGCTGAATATGCATCATGGGATAATACACTCAGTCTGGTGATGTATTATGTATATACTGACACGAACGATTTATTGTAACGAAAATAATGATAGGATTTAACAAATAGTCTAATTAATCATATTTTTTCGACAATACTCGATGATCTTTTTACTATTTTAGTGAGAGAAAAAAACAATGACATAGTGAGAATGCGTTTTTAAACGATGCAAAGGAAAATCAAATGTTTTTTGTTATTAATTTTTTATCTACCAATAAAAAAAAAATTTATAAAAACTGTGATTGTACTTTATGAAAATATCGTATACATATAAATATATGAATACATAAACACACATATACATAAATATATATATAAAAATATAGTTATATGAGATTTGCATTGCGATTTGCGCTAAAGATTCTGCTTTGAAGTATTATCGTCTGTTTTTGTGTTCGAAAAACATCTGTCCTTCATTTTTCCACACAATATATAATTTATGCGAATTTTTGCGTTGGCGGAAAAAATTTTCACTCTTCACACGAAGACTTATTGGAAACTGTAGGAAAGGTGATGACAATAAAAAATGAGTCCTTAATCTGAGATTGAATTTTATTACTATTATTTATTTAACTTCAAATTAGGTATTACAACTTTGGTATAAAAACAAAGTAATCACACTGTATTATGAAAGAGATTACGAGAAAAATTTTTTTCCTTCTATTATTTTATTTATCATCTGCATCAGACGAATCGAACGTTTCGATGATTGTTAAAATAATAATTAAATAATCATCATAATGATAATAATTGGTGAGTACTATTACACTTAAATAAATTATACGTATGTAATGTACAATTACATGATTATTAACAATTAAAAAAAAAAATAAATGTATAAAACAAATAGTAGTCTCCTCGTTGAATGTGTATATGTATATATTTAAATTTGGGTGGAATTCATAATTGTTTGCGTGCAATGTCCTCCCTGTCGCAGTCTAGCCGCATCACGGAGGCGGAGAGCTGGTTCCTGCGAGCGCGTAGGCTCGCGCCCCGGGACCCGAGCGTGCACCACCACTACGGGCTGTTCCTGAGCGCCCAGGCTCGTTTACCGGAAGCAGCGTCGGCCCACCTCGAGGCGGCCACGCTCTCGCGCACCGACTACGAGCTCGCGCTCGCCGCGGCGTCGAGCTTGCGCCGAGCCGGCCGATGCGAGGAGGCCGAGTTCTGGTACCGGCACGCCCTCGGGCTCAGGCCCGACGACGCCCGCAGCCACGCCAACCTCGGGGCCATTCTCCACCTCAACGGCAAGTACCGGCAAGCGGCCGCCGCTTACCGGGAGGCCCTCAGACTCCAACCAGGCGACCCCACCACCATCACCAACCTCGGCAAGCTCGCCGCTCTGCTGGCCTAATGAACCGCTCATCCTTCATCGACGATTCATTATCATTGCTCAATTTCTCATTATAGTTACAATTGTACACGTACCCGCGCTCACCTGTTATTCGCTGCATCCTCCTCTTTTCTATACTCGTCTGCTACTTATCTCTGCAGATACGGTTCTCTTGCCAAATCACACACGTCTTTTCTCCTTTTTTTTTCTCTCTCTCTTTCTTGTATTTTTATACTTACTCCTGTATCGTTGTTTGTTGCAACCACCCTCACGCAAGTATATATACGCACACACGCACTGTATACCGATCGTCCTCGCGACCGGCGAGACCTCACTCGAGAGCTTCCTTGATACTTTTGTCTATATATGCGTTGTTGCGAGCGAGCGAATTTTTTTCCTATTTCAGCTCGATCGTATCGTTTATACGTACATATATATATATACACGTACACACGTGTATAATTATATATTTATATTCTTCGCCTCATCTTTTCCTCTGTACGCCTCGCTATCAAAGTATTAACTGTGTATCAAGCCGTCGCGCGCCCGCTTGTGTGACTTTTTTTACATCAACATATGAATATATATATATATATATATATATATATGAAAAAAATAAATAAAATACGCGGTTACGCCAAGTACTCGCAATATACATGATAAAGGTAAGGTAAACGTACATACAACGTACACATGACACGCATACGTGTAGGGTATGTCATATATACATACATGCATATATATTTATATACGTAAGAAATCAATATCTAATAAGCCATCGTCACTCATTAAGCATCTGCATTGTGTACTAATTACGTATTCTAACGGGAACTTTGTACGAAATAATGAAGAAAAAAAA